GATCTAACAACGATCCAAAAACGGTCCAAATTGGCCCCCTCATCATCTCTCAGCGAGGTTATTGGTTTGAGACGATCCTTGAAATAAGACGATTTATATCATCACTCTTCTTCTCCTTTGGCCGCGCTATTACCGAGTATATGAATATTAATCGGTTTCGTCCTGTCATTAAATGCAGCCCGACTTGCATTCCGAGCCAAACGCCCGTCCGGCATTAAAATCGACGATAATTTACTCCTTGCGATCTTCGAGCTACAAGACGAAAAAATAAACAAAGAAATCATATTGGACAAAATTTATATTTATATTCACTAGTTTTCGTGGTCCGCTTGAACAATTAATATCTTTCAATTAATTAAGGTTTTTAGTTGAGATAAAAAGGTAAGTGTCACGAGCGGGATTCGAACCCACAACCTTCGGCTAGATACGCCGCTACTCTACCATCCAGCTCGTGACACTGACTTTTTTATCCCAACTAAAAACCTTAATTAATTGAAAGATTTATATTTATATAATATTTTCACAACCATCTAATCATTTATATATAAAGTCCCTATATTGAGAAATTGAGAAATGATTTATGTTACAGTTGCTAAATGATTACGACCCCGACTGAGTTTTTATACGGCTGATTCTGCACAGGGGTTGAAATGAGTCTTTTGAGACATTTTCCCATGGAAAATGTTTTCGCCATTAAAAAATTCTCCTTGGGATTTAGAAGGGCGTGGAACATTCGCCCCTTTGTGGCGATCCGACTGAACCGTGTGTCATTCGAAGGGTAAAAGGGGATGTTAACAAAAAACATTTCTCGCCTCGCCTTATTAAAGGCATGAAATCTGATAATTGCTTCATTCCGACTCCTACAACTTGCCGACTCTTCGTGATGGCCATGTGTAAATAGAAAATAGTCTTAATATTTCATTTCGAACCATATTTAATATAGTCTCGGAGATGTAATTGACGTAAGAACCGGGCGTCGTTTCATTTACTTTGAATCAACAATATATAAAAACAAAATGCGGTTATAACTTGGGACATATCAAGTGTAGTCCCATGAAGGCTAAAACCTTTAAATGTAGCTCATCTGATGATTATCTATCAAAAACCGAACAATGTCAACAAAAATAACTTGACTCCTTCCAGGTCAGAGGATTGCTAGTATAACTCAGCCAGGATCAGAGGGTCAGAAAACAAAAATTTAAAAGTGAAAATACCACTAGTACTAAAATACAATTGTAATAATCGACTATCATGAAAATATGTCATATAAAGTTCAAATTTGGGGACCGCGGTAGCCGAGTGGTTAGCATGAGAGACTCTCACGCCGCGGTCGTGGGTTCGATTCCCACCGTTGCCCCTGGCCCTTTTTTCCCAATAACCCCCCAAATTTGAACACACATATACGAAATTGTCACATGGCTAATATGCATAGTTCATAACGCCAAAAAAAAAAAAAAAAAAAAAGTTCAAATTCGATGAACTCGAGTTGAATCGGTACTGGATCACTTGATGTTACTTAAGTTCGTTTCGGCTTTTCGACATCTTCAGTGAGAGACTACGGTACTTTGCAGTTCTTCATTTAATATGGTGCCAACCCACATACTCTCTTTCTTTGTACTCTCTACATTCCGCCTTTTTCTGGGACACACATCCACATATACACACACACTCTCCTTTTCATGGTTGTGATTTTCTTTCTTTTTTTTCTTTATCTGTCTCTCTGTCTGTCTCTTTCTTTCTCTCTCTCTCCATCCCTCCATCTCTCTCTCTCTCTCTCTATCTACTTATCTATATCTCTACATATTGATACCCATCTTCTATCCCTATCTATTTCTGTATGTCCATCCTGTATTCCTATTAATGTCTATATATCCTATTTCTTCCTATATGTCTATATATCTATTCTCTCTCCCTCTCTCTCTCTTTCTCTCTCTCTCTCTCTCTCTCTCTCTCTCTACATATATATTTTATCTATCTCTCTGTCTATGTAACAATATTATATTTATCTATTTATCTCCCCATGTTAATGTATTTATCTAGTATCTATTGATTTATATATATCTCACTTCCTCTCTTAGTAGTTATGTTGTTTTTTGGCATTAATTTTTCTGCTTTTTCTACGGTTTTGTCCGTTATTTTTTATTTCTGTCACCCCCCTCCCTTCGTACTTACCCTGTCATTTTTTGGCCTTACTTTTTCTTCTTCTTTTTCTATAGTTTTGTCCTTTATATTGTCTTGTTTTTATTGCTTCTCTTTACCTTTTGCTTTCATGCAAACACACACTTCCTCCCTTTCTGGAGAATATCTGCCTCCATTTCCAGAGCTTTAGCTCTTTCTATTTATATGTCTCACTCCCTCTCTCTCTCTCTCTCTCTCTCTCTTTTTTTTCTCTTTCTCTTTCTCTCTATCCTGTCTCTTTCTTTCTGTCTCTCTCTTTATACCTATATATTTTATCTATCTGTCTATCTAACCATATATTTTGTTTTTCTATCCATATATATGTATTCATCTAGTGTCTACTGATTTATATATATCTCACTTCCTCTACATACATATAATGTTGTTTTTTGGTTTTAATTTTTTTTCTTTTTCTATCGTTTTGTCCTTTATTTTTTACTTCTGTCACTCCCTCTCTTCGGACATACCCTGTAAATTCTTGGCCTTAACTTTACTTCTTCTTTTACTATGGATTTTCCTTTATGTTGTCTTGTTCTTCTTGCTCTCTCTTTCTCCCTTCCTTTTACGCAAAAAACACACACACACACCCCTCCTCTCTTTCTCGAGAATATCTATCACCATCTCCAAGGCTTCAACACTACAGCACTCACTCTTTCTATTTCTCTCTCTCTCGCGCTCTCTCTCTCTCTCTCTCTCTCTCTCTCTCACTATCTATCTATCTATCTCTACCTCTATCTATCTCTCATTCTCACTCAGGAATCTAGTCATATTTTATGTTTTTTTTTACTTTTCTTCTATGTACCGAAAAATATTTTCTTATTGGGTATCTGTTAGGATTCCGTCTGGTTTACGAATAAGTCCTCGGTATAATGGGATTGTATTCCAAAATAGATTCATACTTAAAACCTCATTAAAGGACCATCGAAGGAACTAACAGCAGAACTACTAAACCTAGATCGTGTTATCACCAAAACGACAGTACCCTGCAGCCGGAGCCATATGTACAGACTCGGAATTGTAGAAACAACTTTGTGCAGTTATTGCCAGAAAGAAGAAAAACTGAGGAACATGTTATTTCGAACGCTTTTTGACTATAAGCGTAACTTATTAGCTTAAATTATTTATGTAATTGTAACACTTATTGTGTCATTGGAAAAGCCTGAAAACACCGGGGCCCCTAACAAAGAATTGGGATCTTGTAAAATGGAAGCTTATCGATTCGGGTTGAGCAAGGTCGTAAAGAGCTAGTTACTTCTAGTAACCTAAACCTATCCTAGGATTCGTTAATGTGTTCCCTGTGTTAAATTTGACCACTATTAACCGAATCTTCTTCTCTTGGATTGTGTTTTTATGCGCTTTATCAAGATTATATATAAATTCACTATTTTTCGTGGTCCGTTTGACCAATTAATATCATTCAATTAATTAAGGTTTTAAGTTGAGATAAAAAGTCAGTGTCACGACCGGGATTCGAACCCACGACCTTCTACCACTTCTACGCCGCTACTCTACCACTTGAGCGTATCAAGCCGTACGTCGTGGGTTCGAATCCCGCTCGTGACACTGACTTTTTTATCTCAACTTAAAACCTTAATTAATTGAATTATATATAAATCTTACATAAAAACAATAGATTTGTCTGAGTAATGAAAAATTAAAGTATTACTGTAAGTATGGTACGTAAAGTATAGATGATATTTCTTGTTCTACAGCTGGTTTCGATCACGCCCGTATATACATTTTATACAATCCAACTCGGGAATAAGTAACGAGACTAGTTTCAATCCAGAGATGAAATTCACAGAACCAATTTTAAATAATAATGGTTTGTCCGTCATTTATCCCCCTTCTTACTTCTTTCAGCATTTCTCAATCCCACTCAATAATGCACCTATGGTTTTTAACAATAAATTAAACTGGAACATCTGAAAGAAATCAGCGGGCGAATAGGAAGCGTGGCGACTAACTGGTTGGCAAGAAATCGTTACGACAAAGTCGTGTGCGAATTGGCAGCTAGTTTGCGTTTGAAAGGGGCCCCTCGAGAACCCCTCGGCATGTGTTTTATGCCGGTGGAGAGGCCGGTCCGGCTTGAATGGAAAGAAAGGGATCTCAATGGAAACTGGTTCTGCAGATGAGATTTGGACGAAGAGGAAGTCGGATTAAGCAGCGGCAGAAAATTGTCGCCCGGTCATTTGGCCCCAGTCTAGACGGGTCCCCTCCTATTGTCCAAACAATTAATTTCGCCAGCTCCCTTTCTCACGGATATTAGACATATCGTTAAATCACGAATGACGAAGTCCTCGAGACAATCCCCAAATCGGCAAACATTGAGAACAGCTGAAGGTTAAATTCAAAAATGCCATTGACCCCTTTATTTAGAAAAAAATCTGAAATAATAATAATAATAATAATAAATCTTTTTTTGCAGGAATGTGCGTTACATATATGGTGACTGGCGATAAGTGTCGAAAATTTCAGGTGTTTCTACTCACCATATGCAACAAAAAAACTTCCTATAAACCCCTGTCCAAATCTCAACGGTAAAGAATTAATTTAAGGTTTTGGTTTTTTTTTTCAACTTAGGTCCACTAAATTGCTTACAACTTCAGAATTACTGACTGTAGAAAAATCTGATATGTGCCATCTGAAAGAACGTTAAATTTGCTGTAAGTAACCTATTTACATTGCACAATTGATGGAAAAATTCAGCACGAAAAATTCAGAAAAAAGAAAAATGTTGAAATTTGTGAATTTCTTTAAAATATTGGATTGGTAACTGTTAATAACTACAAACTCACTTTTTTCGATGGCGCAAGGCCAAGGTGTTCGTTGATACCGGATGTTGGATTGATGTTAGAAGACAAAATTGCGGTACTGCATCGGTGGAATGGTGTTGGAATGTATAGAAAAGTTAGGGGTACAAGGCATACAGAATGGGGCCAAGAATTTTCCCTTGTGGGACTCCGCCGTGTGTGAATCTGATATCAGAGTATTCTTTGCCGCACCTCTCTCTACATCAGCGGTGAGTTAGTTAGATAGAATTTCAGAATAAAGTAATAAGTTAAAAAAAAAATTAATTAAAAAAAAAACTAAATATATATATGCACGCTATATATATATGCATGCTGAGCTTTTACTTTCTCCTCTTTTTGAAAATCCATTTCATTTTCAATAGCATGTTTTTTAGACAAATATTGAACTATTACTGAAGTATAACAAAAATAAACATTGATAATTTTAAAACGTAACTTCCATAAACTAAGACCCACAATCTCTTTCTCTCTTAGTAAACTGAAATGTATACATTTCTTGTACGAACGCATGAATTACGTTTAAAAATATAAAGTAGCAGTGGGAAATAATTTATAGTTTTAGCTGGTTACGTTTTAGCCAGGACAAGTCAAAACCTTTGAGTCATTCAAGTGAAAACAATTACACGGGTAATTCAAACATTTGCTCGCAAGTTTGCTCAACGAGTTCTTCGCGTGTTTTTGCCTCTTTTGCCTTGTCAGATTTTCTCGCACTTTTTCGAAATGGATTGTTGTAATTGACGATTGAATAATGAGCGGTGTTACGCCTTTTGAGAGTTTTGCTAGGCTAATGGTACGAATGTCCCCCCACAGGTCCTATAATAACTGTCAGTGCCGCGCGTTCTAATTGGCCCTCGAAGCCGAAGAGGAGCGAATTCAAAATTTAAATTATAGGTCTAATTTCGCCGGAAGACATACCAATCCAAGGACGTCGTTTTAAAAGGCATTCTTGTTACTTCATCAGTTCCAAAATAAACCGACATCCGACAGACTATGAAAATGTCTTAAACACAAAAACAAATATATGATTACATGAAGTAATCCTAAGGGAAAAACCCATTTCATCAATTTACACACTTGAATTTTGATGTTTGTATTAAAGGTGAAATAAAAACAAAAACTACTTTAACACTCCGAGAAATACACTAAAAAAATTAAAGCAGACGTTAAACAGTGGATCCCGCTGACTAAGCATTCAAGAAAAGAAGATTTTTATCTACTCACAAGGCTTAGAATTGGGCACACACGAATTACCAGTGGATTTCTAATCTCACGGAACCTCTGCCCTTGTGTTTAACATGCTGAGTTGTAATCACGGTTAAAGACATACTATTGGTCTGTAAGAAAATCCAAAGGGCAGGTTTCAGCAGAACCTTTGGATCCTCATAGTACGAAATATTTAGTCACCAAGGAAAAATAATTTCGATATTGTTCAATTTTTTGAAGGAGACAGAATTTAATGGAATAATTTGATTTGAAAAGAGTAAAAGTATAAAAGTGAGGTCTTATGGTTGAGCTAGATGTATGAGGGTACAAATTTTTATCTGCATCTATCTTAATTCTTTCTATATTTATCATCCTCTGTCTATCTGTCGGTTTCTACATCTTTCTTTCTTTATCATCTCTTTTTCTCCCTCTCTCTCACCTTCCCTCCTTCTCTCTATCTCTGTCTATATATATCTTATTTTATTACCATCTCCGTCGCTATTTCTCTATTTATATTTTTTGTTTAATGTACAGCATATCATTGTATCTTATCACTTTTGACTGCTTCACTCCTATCACAAAGTCTCAATTTATAAAATAATACAACTATCTCAACTACTTACTCTTTCACTCATTTACTCTTTCTCTCTGTATCGCTCACTCTCTTACTCCCATTCTCGTTCTTTCTCTTACTCTATTGATCTTTATCTATTCTTTTATCTTCTATATTTATTTATCTCTGCCTCTCTCTCATCCTCTATTGGATTGTAAGAGAAGTCCAACAGTCCTAATTCTGCTCTCAATCAATCTATCTCTCAAGGCGGATTTTTTCTCTCGCATTCTTTCTCTCCTTTATTTTTAAACATATCTACATATCGTACTATTATTTCATTTTCATTTGTATACGTTCGCATCCTTGTCTGTTTTTCCATTCTCTCTCTCTTTCTTTTCCTCTTCTTTCTCTCTCTCTCTCTCTCACACGCACTCACTACCTCACTCGTTCCCTCTTTAATTGTGCAAGTGCGCCACCAGTAAGACCTTGTCTTTGATATTCACAAGCATGCTAAATATGCTATTGTGTTATTACGTACATTATTCTGAATCTACCAGAACGACCTTTTGTGATGATAGTAGAAAACGATAATTTTCGAGATGCTAATGAGATAAATTTTTTGAGATGCCTCTTGTATAAGCGAACGTGTTCTGGATTCATAGGTTTTGCGAGTATATAATTTTGTTTGTAAATGCAAAAGATAAATAGGTAAGCATGGCTCGATGATGAAAAAAGTGGCCCGACAGAAATACAATAATGAAAATTCAGAAATCAGAAAGTATTTCTACTCACTCAAAGTGTTTGTTTTCTGCGTAAGTATGCCATTCTTGCGTGTCGTATTGAGAGTGCCAGTGAGATATACTTTGATTGAATGTACAAAATATATTTTTTGCATTGTATAAATTCACTTTTTTCCACATCCTACATGTATTTGTTAAATTTAAAAAATGTTTGTAAATCCCAGGCGCTGAAGATGATCTCAATAAAGATCGAAACGTTGGCACGATAAAGAAAATGTTTTTCTGAAACCTACATCACACCAGACCGCATCTCACGATTTCTGAATAATCATGGTCACTAATCACCACACATTGATGAAATTCAATTTTGTTCAAATTTTGTTACCTTTTTTATATTTTCTTTTCAAGCATAACTTGTTTCTTGTTTTCGTATTATTTTGTGAACACTTCCACGTGGAAGATGAACCAAAGCTTAACATTAGTCGACCGGTTCTGTTGACAATAAATTTCTATCAATGCGAAAATAGCTTCTTCGCGTCACAAATTTTATCGATTATAAAACACCCGATTATCTCAGTTTACGGGAATAATTTTAATGTCCGTTAACTCGATAACTATTTTACTTGATGGATCTGGTGAAGTTAGACCACTTTTATACGGTTTAGTACAGGGTCTCAGTTTTTGACATGATGCTAGCCTTAAATATCATCTATACTCTCAACTTATTCCAAAGCATGAGCTGTCATACATAAGGCTTCAGAACCTTTTTTTTACGCCTAAACATCAACAGTGTAGTGTAAGAGCGTCGTGTTTGATTCAATTCAAAGCCGGTTCGTTTTTGTAATGAGAGTAAAGTCATTATTTGAAAAGAGCGAGGCTAGGACCTGTTATGAAATTCATAATAATAAGAGTTCATTGGAGCGCGAGTTCGGCTATATCGCCCTACAAGACATGAATATGAAAAAGGCTTGATGAATGCTTCCGCCCGGCATTCCTGTTTGTGTGTCAATGTTTGTCCAATGGTAGGCAAACACATGTTCGATCTCTATGAAGAAACTTATTTAGTAACGAAGGAAAAATAGAAAAAAAGGGAAACCGCGCTACGAGCCGGGCCACCGCCAGCTGGGCCGTGGACAGGAATGTTGCCTGGCAGGAAGTTTCAATCATTTATGCAGAACTGGCTGGATGAATCCTCCTCCTTTCCAGATACGAAAACCGTGACCGACTTCTATAGGCAGTCACGCGAACTACTTAAAATATCCCTTAACGAGTTATTAGAAGAAGGAAGAATGTACCAAAAACGTGTATTTAGTATGTTCGGCGGCGTTAGGCTTTTACTCAATTCTGATTGACTCGAATCCTGTATTTATTTCACTGTTAACCTGCCAATTTCATACCAAAGAGAGATCTTGGATTGAAGGCAATTGGAATCCTCTTTTTGTACCTGGCTATCGTAATTTGCACTCAAATATACCAGATTTACAACAACAAAAATATTGAAAATACACTTCTTTTTTGAATAATAAAAAGTTATATTCTAGGCATAATTAATAATTACAAAATAACACCTCCACTTCTAGGTCTAATATTATTCGCTCTTCTTTGAATCGGTGAAATACAAACGATATATTTTCGTTGTCGAAGACTATAATTTATATAATTTTTAGTTATTCAGGAAAGCGCGATACGTGAACACACGATACAAATTCAAAAAAGGTTGTAAAATAATAAAAACAAGATTAATATGATGATTTGAACAAATAAGCTTGCCTATGCATTCGATGGCGAGGTAGAAGAGGAGTTCAAAAGGTAGGTGCCAATATATTGACAGAGCAGTAGAGTAAACAGTAGAAAAAAAGAGATTTAATCTCAATTATTTATTTCATACAGATATAGAAAAATGATAACTAGAGAAATAATTAAATGCTAACATGTATGATTTTATAGTAGTAGAACATTACGTAAATCAATCAAAAAATAATTTATTAGCATAGAAGAATTTATTTCTCTTTTTTTCTTATTTCTTCACTTATTTCCCTCCCTCCTTTCAATCTCTGTATACCTATCATTACTTACTTAATCTCTCCGTAATTATCTTTTTGTCTATTCATTTCTACGAATGACTAATTTCAAACCTTCTCTGTGTATGTATATTTATAATTCGAACTTGCATGTTATTCATGCTATATGTTATTCATATATTTATTTATCTATTTTTTCTTTATCGCAAACGTCTCTTACTTTTCTCTCCTGCTTTTAATCTAACCATTTACATATATATTTACCTTGCTCTCACTCTCTCTCTCTCTCTCTCTTACTTTCATTATCACTCGTTTAATCAAATTATGCCACACACATTCTCTCACATTCTTTCTTACTCAGTCGGTCACCTTCTTTCAACGACCTTCTTTCTTCCTCTCTTTCTCCTTCTTCCTCTCAGTCTCTCCATCTTGCTCCCCTTTCTACGTTATATATATATAATTTTTTACTTTTGCTTGACATGCGTTGATCTACTTGTCAATCTTTTTTTCTTGCTTCTCTTTCTCCCTACCTTTCTTTTTATTATGTCCTTTCTCTCTCTCACTCTCACTTTCTGTTTATCACTAAGTCTTTCTCACTACCTGTCTTTTGTCTCTGTTTCATCCATCTTCACACACAAACGCGAGTCTCTCTCTCTCCTCCCTGTCAATCTATCTATGCATTTATCTATCTT